GTTTAGGGTTTAGGGTTTAGCTAAGTAATGATAATAGGGAACCCTAAGGAATTCTTATTAAGGAATCAGGCTCCGACAACCGTATCACTGTTTCATAATGATACCAAGGAGTCCTTTAACCCTGTAACTCTAACTACAGCGATGCCAGAAAACCCCCCCAAAAAAAAACGACTACTAAATGTTTAGGATTGTTTAACCTTATCGTAGCTATCATTGTAACCCTAACAGGGAGCCCTAAGGAATACGATTACTAAATATGTAAGCTTCTACGTTGCAAATACCCCCCTAAACCCTAAATCCTAAACCCTAAACCCTATGTGAGCCCGGGAGGAGCCCAACCTCTCCATGGAGTCTCAGATGCAACGACCGGGAGGTCCTTCCAGGGCTTACTTGGAGGATCATGGGACTTTGTAAGTAGGGTTATAACTACCTTGATTGGGGTTATATATGTCTACCTATAAGTGTAGTTTCCTTATTTATAACCCTAGTTATTTCCCATGATCCTCCAAGCAGGGTTTAGGGTGTTCGTATACGGCTTCCTACAAGGGAAAGGTTTTGTAGAGATTCGGCACTTCGGCTTAGGGCTTTTGGCTCAGGGATGGAGGTTTAGGATTTATAGAGGCTAGCCAGTTTTCAGGTTTGGCGAGGTTGAAAACTTCGGAAGTTGGCCCCCAAACCTGCGGCGTTACCCGGTCAAGTTCCGAAAGGATGGGCCGTCGCAACGGGGCTCGCGGCAGCACGCGTTGGTCTTTGGCAATGGAAGACGTGTAGGAGATGAGGTCATGGTTCAAAGTTCCAAGCGTCTGTTGCCAGTCAAGGGCCGGCACACCGGCTGTAGAAGGTGCATAGTCAATGCAGGGACCGGTCGGGTTGCAGTGGCACATCAGTGCACGCCGTCTCATCTGCAAGCTGCCATGTGCCGATGGCACGCGCATCACAACGATGGGTGCTTGCTCCGGCGGCAAAGTGAAATCGCCCCAAATCCCCTGCTGCGGCAGCCACGGACTCGAACCGATCCTTCAAAAGAGTCGAGGCCTAGGCACTCATCCGCCTGGGCGAGCATGCCACACCAGCGTGGCTGCCAGCAGACCTACCGTGGTTGCATGATCGCAAACAAGAAAAGCTTTTCCGAGCCCGACATGCACGTGACGAAAAAGACATGCCTTAGCAAGGCACGATCGCCGATCGCTGACCCGTCATGGTCAACGACTCGGGCAAGGCTCCTACGCGACACCAACAGAAAACGGCCTAGCATGGCTCTTGGCATTGCCACACGAAAACCCAGAGAACCACAATACCCCTTAATTAAGGCATATACTTGAAGTCATATTGTTAGTATTATTATTATTATATTATTATTATTATTCGTATTATTATCCATAATTAAGGTGTATTGGTGCTCTGGGAGCATGGCCGGGTCAGCTTCCAGCTGCTGGGGGGCCCGGTCCATTTCGGGCGTTCGAGGGAGTGCCCCGACATCGAACACCGACTCCCAGTGGGTTTAGGGTTTAGGGTTTAGGGTTTAGTGGTTTGGGGTTTAGGGTTTAGGGTTTAGGGGTTTGGGGTTTGGGGTTTAGGGTTTAGGGTTTAGGGCTTTGGGGTTTAGGGGTTAGGGGTTTGGGG